GTTCCACAAGACCATCTGGATGGTGATATCATATTACAATATTTCTAATGGACTGCTACTCATGGACTATCATGAGTAAAGCTAAAGGGGATTTTGCCAGTCCCTGCTGATCTTAGAGCTGAATCAGTCTATATCAGTTTGCTTTTAAAATTTGGAGAATGTTGTTCACCTGTTGCTCTGTCTCCAGAGACCTGTTCCTCAGGACTCCTCAATGCTTATGTCCCCCCCACCCCCTCTTCTTACTTCTACTAGTGGAGCTTGGGAGTCCTTACCACACCCAGTTCCCAGTTGCTGTGGTGGTGGACAGAGGATTTTCCTTTGGAATGTTGAATTTTCTCCACTCTTGGAGAAGAGGGCAAAGTTGGGAACCCTCCTACCTGGGTCCCTGGAAGTTTTTCCCAGATGTCAGTAGGAGCAGGACCAACCTACATGGGAGCCTACTCATAAAACCAGTCCAGATTTGACACTAGCTATCCAGTGTGTGTGTGCTGGGACCCTCTTATGAACTCTGTCAGGTCTTATGTTGTTTATGCAGGGGGTCCACATCTCCTCATAAATCCAAACGTGACGCAGTCCCATCTTTGGTACTTGGTGGGACAGTGTTCCACATCCTCTACATAAATCCATGGATAAGTGAAATTTTCCTTGCCCACTTGGTGGGGGAGTAAAGACAACTGTTTGTAAATCCAGACTGGATGAGTTCTGGACTTGAGTATGGTATATGATCCTGTCAATCCAGACCTGAGATGTTGTCTTTTGGACTTCTTCAGGTTGATCAGAAGGATTGTCCACTTTGGTGTTGCTTTCTTTCTTTCCTAAATCTGGCAGTTCGAAACTCATTATTCTGTGGTTACTGGTAGGGATCCTATCACAAATATATATATTAAATATATCTGCGATCCAACTGCCTGGCCACCAACGTGAGTGCTGGACCATCATACTTGTATTATATTTCACCCTTTTCAATTTTCTGTAGTTCTGGGTGAAGAGCACTCCTGTTCTGGATGTAGTACAGTGTTCCTCAATATGATACCACTTCTCGTGGTACATATTTGTTCTCTGCAGATGCATTCTGTATGATCTCTGTCCTTACCGGCCCCTCCACCTTCTCAATGTTGGATTCTAACTATTAGTGTCAGTGAAGGTGTGTATGTTTTGCAAGTTATCATTTTCCTAAACTTAAAATGTATTTCCAAACATACTTGCCTCTGCTGACACTCTCCCTCCCCACTAAGAGCCGGTGTTAGTGACCAGAATGAGGTAAGTCTCGAAAAAGTGATTTTATTGGCTGCAAACAGTGCTTATATACAGTACCTGCATACAGGGTGTGTGAGGACCGGTGTAAAGTTTTGTAAATTAGATATTGCCGAGGGAAGTCGAGTAGGGTATATCAAGACTGGAGCAAGTGAACACAACGTTAGATGACAAAGATGAAGATCGAGAAATAGCTATTAGTGTTAGCATAAGTATGTTTGGAAATACATTTTCAGTTTAGGAAAATGATAATGTTCAGTCTGTAAAAGCGTACACATATAACAACAATAATATATTTGTGATTTAACAATCTGAAACAGATGCAGGAATATTTCAGAGGAAATTTGCTGGTTTGATCAACAGTCAACGTTTAAAATGTAGGTTTTTATAATATACTTGTAAATTTCTGCTTATTATCCTACTAAATGATTAATTTGTTACGGTTGTGCTTGATGATTTTTAGGTATAAGATGCTGATAAATCTTTGAAGTAACATAATTCTTATGTATTACGGCAATTTCATGTGTTCATAAGAATAATTTTGAAACAATGTTCATTGGTATTTTGATGTGAAGACATACTGTAGTGTGCTGTGCAGCCAAAACAACCTGCAGGGTAAAATGTGTGTTAGTAAAAGGAGTAATAGTTTAAAGATTTTCCACTTTCTGTAGCTCAGACTGTGGTAATCCAAACTATCATATATTTTCAGTGAATGTCCCCTACTGGACCCTTACTACACGTACAGAATTTCCAGGCAATCCATTAAGAAACACGAGATATAAAATTTCCACTTTTGTTTGAAGTTCTTTCTCTTTGTTGCATTGAAATGACCAAAAATTTTATATAAAAACATACCTAACTTTTATGGATTTTTTTTCAGATTTGGTACATGATAGTTCTTTACAACCTCTAACTATGTGTCAAATTTGGTCTAAATATAAGCCACATGTGCAAAGTTATTCAACGAAAACCACTCATTTTTGCACAAAATGTTTGCACATGACTATGCAAAAAGTCACAGGAGCTATTGGTCTAAAATATTTACTACAGCTTCACCTAAGAGTAAAAAGTGGACCATTTTTAGATTTTTGTCATTTTGATTAAAGACTGCTGATTTGGAACAGCAAAACCTTGGGTGAAAGAATGTGCAGATGAGCAGTTTCTAGCTCAAGTTTTCAAAATAATCATACAGCTGGATGGTTATTATTCATTGCCAATTTTTAAGCACAAATTAGCTAAATTTTATGAAGTTTTCCTAATTAAAGAGCATTTAGCATCATGTGATATTAGTTTAAACAATTGGCGTAAATAATGAAGCTTGTAATGGCTGTACCAATTGCATGCGGGTGATGAGAAGAAACTGTTAATCTAGTTCCTACATAAACCTGATGTTGGTTACTATTGTGTGTCACTTTTTCACTTGCTGTGGTTTGTTGGTGCATTGACAAAAGGTCATGATATCTAATCAAAAACACCTTAGGTGTGAAAAAAGAAGTACGAACAAAATAGCATTGAGTGTGTGACTTAAAGGAATGAAATCAAAATTGGTAGCCAAACTGGTAACTACACTTATAGCATTGATAAGAATTTTACAACAAATATTCATTCATTAATTAGCTTGGCCACATATTTTGTTTTACCAATCATCATGCCCTAAATTTAACAAAAAACATGGCCTGGCTAACTAACAAATGAATATTTGCTATAAAAGTATCATAAATGCTAGAAGTGTTGCTACCAGTTTGTCCACCAATATTGATTTCATTCCTTTAAGTTGCATGCTGAATCCTTTTTTGGCTTCACCTTGTTTTTTTTTCACACCTAAGGTGTTTTTTATTAGATTTATTATATACAAATTACACATATACACAAGTGCATACAACAACTTTAGGAAATGCATAACTTTTGAATGAAAATAGTTTGCATAGTTATACCATGTTTTATATATATTAGATATATATTTAATTTCACAAAATATCATACAATTAGACCAACAATGATAATAATCCTTGCTCTTCATCATTTTGGTCTGAATAATTATCTGAAGTAAAACAGTTCAGTATAGACATAGACTTTCAAACAGTAATATATTTTACAGCATTTTCTGTTAAATGAGAGGGTGGTCTTAATGTGAACAGTTGAGTCTAGCATCTTCAAACTCATTTTGTTTCAATACTTTTAGTAAAATTATGTTAAAGACAAAGTATTTTACATATGTTTTATTAACTGTATACAGGTTGTCATTTTTACCAACATTGTAACTACCTCAAAAAATATGAAATGAATTTAAATTACCTCTTTTTCTTTCTAGAACGACTGCAGATTATAACAGAAAATTACAATTACTTATAATAATGTGGCATCAGAAATTTTTTTTATTCAGTTATTCCATTTAGATTGAAATATTTCCACACACAAAATAGAATGCCCTAAAACTTACATAGATTATTTAGCTTTCTAACTAACATAGGCCCACTGAGTATCGAAACCTGGTTTCTGGTGGTATAAGTCCACAGACAAGCTGCTGAGCACAGATAGTCCATTGTGTAGCTTTGTGCTTAACTACAAGCAAATGAATAACTAACATAGAAATGGCTTAAAATTATTTCCATACCTGGTCAAGCAAAGCCCCAACAGCGAGATTGAAGAAAATGGTTCTCAGATATCCAAATTATTATTCCACTGTCACAGATCTTTAGACCTTATAACTGTCAGTTCCGTGAAACTTCCTCCATTTATTGGTTACAAATAATACAATAGCAAATGTCAGAAAGAATTTATGACATGTTATGAAAGCAGGATACTCAGTGGAAGGCATGGCATTTGACCAGAACTTTATTGTTGATATCTGCATCATGCAAAAGCTGTATGGGTGGCAAATTGAAACTTTTATGTTATTAAAATATGATTTATAAATTATGTTTAGTGCCAACTTTTTTGATATACATTGATAATATATTACTGTAATTAGATTTGGAATATAACTGTAAATAGCTGTGACATGCACTCTTTTACCTATTCATAGCAAAATGGTTAGCATTCTCAATATTACCGACCATGTGAACATATTTGACTTGTATATAGTTTTAATACTATAACTTTTAATGCACTAAGTGTATCTTTACAAAATTTGCAGACATTTAGTAAACATTATAAGTTATTTGTACATAAAAAATCAGTTTTAGTATAATATTTTTACTAAAGATTTGTTGTTTTTTTACCAGTTGAGTGCAAAGTGATTTCATGTTAAGATTAAAAATACTTTTCTTCATCTCAAAAATCTCAAATGTCATTTGTGTAATCTCTGAAACCTCCTTAATACATTTCAAACATTTGTTTCAGTAAAATTTTATATTTTATCTGTTTTCCCTACCCTAACTCTATTCAAGATTGGTCAACTTGACCAACGTTGTAACCACCAAAATAAATAAATAAATCTAAATTACCCATTTTTTCTTTCTAGAATGGCTTCAGATTGTAACATGAAACTACATTTGTTTATCCTTTATTTTAATATTTGTCCATTCAGAAAGTACCTGTCCATGAAAATTTTTCATTTGTCCATTAACCTAATATCTCTCTCTTTTCACTCTTTGTCCGTTGTGAATTTTACAATCTTGCTTGAATTTTTTTTATTGGTATTTAGGTCTATTCTTGTATGTACCGGGAACAATCAGATACTTTAGGACTTCTTTATTTATGGCTGTTAATATTGTAGTACAGTAAAATATTATGTTTTACTACAGGAAGGTCGTGGCTTGTACCCTGAATATGAGTACAACATCTGACCCCTTGCAAGGCCATATCCATGTAGGTAATGCATTAGTGTACTAAATTTTACTTTGTAAAGCAACAAGTTTACCTGCTAACAGTAAATGACTTGTTCTTATACTTATAATATTAATAAACAAATGAAAAAAAATCATGCACAGGCATTTTTAAAAATAGACAGTTTTGAGGAATCTGTCCATTCAAATGGACAGTAGACAACTCTGTGTCTGTTCATAAGTGTATTCAACATTGTAATGGGTTCTGGTTTCCCGTCAATTTAAAAATGTGATCATACAAAAGAGAGCAGAGCATGTAATGAGGGTGAATGATTTTCCTGATACTTTTGAGTTATGGGGATTAAAGCTTGCAGTACCTCTATAGTCAATTTAAATCTCCTTTAGGTGTAGGATTTCCTTGCAAATGGAAAATATGTAATGAAATTTATATAATGATTTGTTTTTAAATTTTAATAAGGATTATTTTCTCAGATTTTAGAAAATCCAAAAACAATGAAAAATACATTACATATTGAGGGCAAATCGCATCAAAAATGGTGAGGTTTGAACTCCCGGGAACAACACTCCTGTATCCACTACTGACAGGCACATGTTCAAAGACGTGATGTAGCTCTCACATGCTAGACATGCAGTTCTAGTCATTCAATAATATTCTATTTAAGGGATCATCTTCAATTGTGTATATGTCTCAGTAAGGTTTTTTTTGTAATAAATCTAGGCCTATCACAAATGATTAAGAACAAGTGTTTTCAGATCTTTATTTTTTTAAATGCTGAACCCATTGTATATGTTATGCAACAGAATTATGCTTTTCCCTTTCAAGTTTGAATTCTTTGTTTTTTTAATCAGAAGTCAGTGAACAATAGTGCTTCTGAAGCTAATGAACATGGAAAAAGACAGTAGTGATTCTGATATCACCAGTGAATGGTTGCTCTTAAGTTGGGAAGATAAACCAGAGGTAAGTGTAATAGTTTTAGATGTGGCAAAGGGGCTCGTAGAATTGCTCTTAGTTGTTTTTTTTTTTAAGTACAAACTTTTGGCTCATATCTCCATTTCTTGACTGATTTTTGATTTACTTACAGTTATGAACACAGGAGGTCAAACCCTTTCAATTGTTGTATTTGACCATTTTCAAGGTCTCTTAGATTAATCCCCCTAAATAATTTCAATTTGAGGGCAGGGTGGTAAAGATTCTGATGAGGGAAAAAAAGGTTTTCTAGATTAATTTACCCTAATTCTGCCTAAAAGTGCTGTGCCTACTGAGGATTCCCTTTTGTTTTTTATGAGAAAGTATATTTGATATATAAAACATCATAGCACTGAACATTATATAAAATGAACCTGTTGCAATGAAACTGCTAAACTAAAATCGGTAGACAAATATACAAGCAAATATGAAATTACAGGTCATCAAATGATAAGTGCTACATTGTTTTTTTACATAACCCTGCGGGTTGAGGTCCGGTGGGAGCTCGGCTATTAGTTTCTTTCTCACTGGCATCCCTTCGTCAATGGGTGATACGGGTTCTGTTGGAAGGATTCATTTTCCAGTTTCTTTCCCCACCTCCTGTTTCTCCTTGTACCATTTCCTGCCCTCCTCCTTGAGATCCCTCTCCTGCCAGTGTCTGTCGGAAACTGTTCGAAAATTACTTTTGCAGCAGGCAGTTGAACCACTTCACCATCCTTCTGTTTTTTTTATTTCAGTCTTTTCATTATCTCCAAAAAAACCAGGGATTGGTGGCTGGACATCGATGTATCTCGCCTCAATTGCTTCATCACACTCTCCAAGTTCACAATGGAATCTTTTCTCACCCTGAGACAGGCAGGTTTTCTTACTTGTTCTTTTCAGTTATCTAGCCTTGAAATTTATCTCTGCAGGTGGATGGTTTATCAGTTTTTTTTACTTAGCTTTCAATGGTAATCTATCTGTTTCTTCAATTTCTGGTTGCACTAAGGCTTTAGTGACAACCTTCTATCTTATCTCTGGCTATTCTTTCTCCATTTCTTATGAACCTATTCCAAACCTTATGATCAGTAGTCTGCTCATCTGGTTGTTTTCTGGACTGTAACCTTATTTTAGTTTTAAGGGCTCCTAATATGTCCTGTATTCAGTCCTTTAGCCACCAGTTCCCTGTACCATATTTCTCTTATGATGTATTTTTTCTCCTTGCTTGAAAAGACACTGATATGATATCTCTGCCTTTGATGTTTCCTTCATTTCTTCTAGATTTTGGATGCTCAGGAGGATAATTGGAAGTTTTCTCCAGACACACTCCCTTCCCTTTCTTCTCTGTATAATCATTCAGTTACCAATCACCTCTCTTTGTCTTGGGGCATTTCACTGCTCCATTTCATGATAATCAACATATATTTTTTTTAGCAATGGGAATGCTCTTTTTTTTATGACTTATCTCATTTTACTTTTACTCTTTTGGTTAAACAACTTATCTGGCTTATCTGTTAATCCTATAAAGTTTGTCATTTGATGGCATCTCATGAATCTGGATATCAACATTCTTTTGATGAGAAATTGCAGGCATGGATGTAAATGATCCCAGACATCATTTTGTCATATTACTTGAATCATATTTCAGTTTTGTATCCCTCTAGTCTCTGTTCTCCAATCTTCATGGAGGGTCTAAAGAGGTATTTTGTTAATTTTGTTTTTCTCACAGATTCCACAAAAAAAAAAACACCTCAATCTACAAAAAAACAACATAATATATATCAGAGACAATGAAACCCACCATTTGGCCTGTGTTGCCTCACAAGGAAATCACACTTTCTCTCTCCTGAAATTGACTAGGGAATAACAGAATGTATTAATCCCATCTGCCCATAATCAGTGCCTGCTGTTGAGATGGGGCTTCCATAAGACTGCTTTGACAGTTTATGTATTTTACCTTCTAAGTTGTACTTCTTCAAAAAGGGAAAAAACAACCGGATATGGTTCCTGCACTTGGTGATCCATTTTTGTCTATAACCCATTGCACAGTCTATCGGTGTGGAACCTTAAGGGGTGAAAGAAAATTCCATTTTAGTCGATGCACCTTTCCAGTGTTCTCCCTATGCAAATTCTTCCTCTAATTCACTTCTAGTGCAGTTGGTTCTGGTTGGTACTTCATGTATGTATTTCTTGCATACTCTACAGCTTGATTTACTGCCGTAGCTGATCCTCTGAGATATACAAGCTGATTGAGTAGCCTTTACGTTCTCCCCTCTTAATCACCATACATTGAGATTCTTTTGACAATACCTTTTGCACTATCACTTTTATCTGGCAAAGAATATCCCTTGAATGAGGTGGATATGGTTTTTCACCAAGTGATGCTCCTTCTAGTTCTCCTCCTTAATGGATGACACACTCCTTGAATTTTTCCATTTCTTCACCATATGCTTAGGAAGAAGCTCATTTTTTAAATTTCCTTATCTCTGCTATTCTCTCCTTTTCAGAATAGGATTCTGATACTCAGTTCTATGGATAGGTGAGTAGCATTTTTAAAAGTTAAGATTTTCCTTACCTTAAAATATATGTCAGATAAATACTTACTTCTCCACAGAAACATTCACTCTTTCACCCAACTTCCAGCGTGTTTGTTTTGCTTAGTCAAGAATGAGCTTTTTGTATGTACAGTGTGCTAAAGGGAAGTACTGCCATAGAGAATATGTCACTCGCCTATTGGTGGAGGGTTATAGTCTGACTTTGATTACATCATACACTGGTGCAGTACATATTATTACATGTAGGAGTGGGAGTTTTGTTCAAAAACTTGACACATGCACAAAGGCTTTTAGGCAGTGGCATGAGTAATAGCTATCTGTTCTGTGGAAAGGCGAATATCTGTCTAAAATACATTTTCAGATAAGTATAGTGTAATTTGGTATAGAGGAATAGACATCAGAAAGCTGAAATAAGAGCAACAGAAGCCAATGGATGAATAGTTCTGAATTCCTGATAAGGACAATTGAAACGATAAATGAAAGAATAAACATCAGTCTAGTTTTACACAGTATGCAATTAATGAATAAGTAAGTAAATGTAGATGATTTCAATTGACTACTTATTGAATCAAATTACATAAATAAATATATATATCTATATATTTATTGGATATTTTTTAAATGTTATTATGAATATGCTTTTATAAATGTACAAGAGCATAGATAGAAAACTTTAAGTTAAACATACTTGTTATAGAAATCACTAAACAATGAATATGTATGATATACCAGCTTTTCCTTTTTTGATAATGTACACACATGTATACTGATACGAGGTAAATATTCTTAAAAAAATCAGAAGTTTCTCATACCTTCAGTTAAGGCTTCTAATATTCTTCCCTAAGTTTTCACTGTGTTTGATTGGTTGACAACAATACCATAGTGGCATGGCTTTAGTGACAAAACCAATTATTTAATATCCATTTATTTTTCTGTGCCACCCTTTTTTCTCTTCATTCCCAATTTTTGCCCTTTTTTTCATTTTCCATAATCCAAAATTCTTCCTGTACCTTTAGGATACTTTTAGGAAGAATATGTAGCTCCGTATTGATGTGCTGTATCTGCAAGATTGTAACGTTGTGTTTGCAATCCTGCCCCTGCAAGTGGGGGCTGTTATTTCAAACCTCTTTCTTGGACAAGTATGTATTTATGATGTTACTATGGAAACCATGCACAACATTGCTAATAGTATGGTGAAATTGAATGCCTTTTTCAAGTGAATTTCTGAAAAATTTGTTTCTTGTTTAAAAAATGTTATTATTACATCACTATATTTACAACCTCATATAAGTTTTAACTTTTCTATTAGTTTACCATTAATATTGATTTAAGTTTTCATCTAATCTAAAGTCTTTTTTTTTCCTACATTTTTCTTTTGTTAATATTTCTGTAATCACATTCACTCAAAGCAAATTTTTGGCAAATCTTTTTAAAAATGTTTAAAGGTGTAGTTTTATTTATTACAAGATGATGATAGGTTTTTGTATACTAAAATCATGTTTATATAAAAGAAAAAGAGAAGAAAAAAAGATAGCTGTAGGTGTAATAAACCTTTTAGAAAACTGGGTTCCAACAATTTAGTATATACTTCTTATAGGGTAATAAGGAGGAAGGTTTTGCAGTGACATCTTCCACTGCCTTCACATCAATGTACACAAAAGCTTTTGATAGTTGCAGGTAAGTTTAATGTTCTGGTAAATTGGGTTTTGACAGAAGTTATATAAATGTCATTTGAAAAGTTCATCTTACAGCCTTTCACATCTAAGATTATATAGCCTCAATTTTAATTCATGACAATAATCTATTATCACCTGCTAAAATCAATCTGGATAGTTCACTGGACGTCTCTGAAAATGTAAATTGATTACTTTATACACAAGTTTCAGTGCATTTTTTTACACTGAAATTGAGTTCTTTGTAACTATAGTTTTATAAATAAACTTAAATAAGCCAAAACATGAAGTATGTCATAAAGCTTAAACCTAACAATATCATTTAGTAATTTAGTTTAAAACAAATAAACTAGGCCTATATAAATTGTAAGTTAAAATTTTACTCTAACTTCTTAGTGTTAGCAACAGTATTGATTTGTACTTTCCTATGGAGCTTCTGAATTTATTTATACATCTAATTTCTTAGATTTGCAGCAGTACCTCAACTGATTAAATAGCTTCATTTTCTTAGGATAATGGGATCTGTTATACTAGACTTGTTCACACAGTAGAAAAGGCACACTGTTAATCCATAAATTAAGGCTTCAACAGACTGAAAGTAGTCCATCAATTGATAAACTGTCAAAACTTTAACTGTGTCTTCTCATTTTGAGTTAATTTTTTTAAGTTGTTGGTTATCATTGTTAAATTGAAAGGCACCTTCATAATATTGTATTATGGTTATGTTTTATTTACAACTATTTTTACAACTGTAGTAATGCAGAAAAGAATACAATTATTATTGTTGTATTACAATGGATGGAATGTACTTGGTATTAGTTATCAGTTAGCAGAATTTATATGTAGTTGCAAACAGTTATTGTAAATTAATGAGTTTGAGATTTCAATATGTTAAAATGTTTGAGAAAATCATGCCAGTGTAAATAATATGTGCAATTCCTAATAATTGTATTCATTTTTTAATATATTTTTTCAGTCCTAAACAGAACCATCCACAAACAGTTGCTGATGAAAATAAAACTGAAGGAAGTGTAGAGGATGGCCATGGGTATCTTGAGGAAGAAATTTCAAAAATTTCACCAGATGTCAATAATATTCATGTTTTGGAAGATGGATCTAGTAGAGATTCAAGTGACATCGATGTTCTTGGTGCAGAGGAGGATGAACTGGGGGAGAAAATGGCATCTGTTAATTCACATCTGTCAGTTTTTGATTTGTTAACTTCTTCAGGTAGTGTAAATGTCATTATTTTGAAATATAAGTAAGAATGATAAACAGTTTATTATCAAACATAATATTTTATTTATATTTGCTATTTAAAGTACTAACTCTCCTGTCAAAGAAGTAGATACGGTACTTATAACATTTTCTATTACAGGGTTATATAGCATGCTACATTTTAAATTGGTAAATACACCAGGATTTTTAATTGGTTAACCCATTACTTACCTTGGCCATTTTGTCCTATTGTGAGGACAAAATCACATTTCTGAATTGAAAAAATTATAGAGAACTTATCTTTTATTGGATTTCAGGTTTTATTTTTGTAAATAGTAGCATAACATTCAATTGTTTGTACAAAATTGTAATAGTTAATGAAGTTTAAAGAGAAATTCAATAAAAAAAGTCCCAAAATACGTTTGAGACTATAAATAAGCCACCTCTAAGAAGAAAATTTAAAAAAAAATTTTACTTGCTCTTTAGCACTGGTCCTGCCATTTATGATTGGTATCTAAACTTTTTTTCCAGTCTATTTTCTTTATAAAACAGCGTCTGGGCGTGTTAAACCTCAGTTGTAAAACTTTTAGCCAATCCTAGTTGAAGGTGTCAATTTCAGTACAATGTTCATCCATTCGCTGTATTTCACATTTGACAAATCATAGAATGATAAGCAAAGCATGTGATGAAACATTGTTCTCTGGATTTTACATTATGAATGTGGGTGGTGCTTATTATAATAACAGCCATTTTATGTAGATGTTGTATTTAGTATTGGTCAATAGTACTTTTTTTATAAGCTTTAGAAAATTTGCTTCTGGAAAAAACTGCATGGAATGTATGTGACTTTTATTATTTTGATATAGTAGCTTAAGTCATGGTGTATCGTATATGTATTTATATTAATCATTATATTGAAAAATTAACTCAAAATAGATATATTTTTAGGAAGTAGTTGATCCACAAATGTTATGGTTAAGAGCTATTGAGTGGTGAGTGCAAGGTCTTTACGTGACCTAGGCTTAGCACTTTGAACTGAAAGAGTGTGATTTTCTATATTCTTTTGCCTTTAAATTATTAGTTTTAAGTTCAATAATTTAGCACAATTTTATATTTAGTTCATAGTAATAATAATATGATTCAGTATTTAGAATGATAAAATTGTATGATTTGTACCACATAAAGAGTTTATATTTTTCCTTCGTATTATCTTTACTTTGTAGTAAGACCCACGCTCCTGTAGTTGTTGCTTTAGAATTAAAACAGTCTAACTGATATACATAAAGTTTATTCTGATATTTTGCAAATGGTTTAAACTCAGTGTACAAGTGACAGCAATAAAACCCATATGTTGGCTGTGAAACAGGCTAAATACATTTGTCTCAAAAATACAGGGAAGCTATGACATTCTCACAGTTGGGGTCTCAATACACTGAAGAGCTTAAGTTTCAAATTCCAACATAAATCTTGCTTATAATGAGAGGAATGTGCTAACCTCATGATTTATTCGGTGCAATAAACAAAAGTACGGCTGCAATGAAACATAAACTTGAAATAAAAATACATTTATGAAACAAAATTAAAATGTTTTTTTATGTACATATATAAACATGAAATCCTAGTTAAAAATAAAAATACTCGTTTAATGTTTAGGTATACTTACAAATATTATTTTTTGGTCTTGTATATTACTTGAAACCATAAGGAGAGAACATGAATATTAAAAATAGACAAAATTTGCATTTTATCGATGATAAAAAGGTTTTAGGGATTTCAAAATAATGTACTAAAACATAAAAAGTAACAAGTTCAAATCTGGAACAAATATAAATATCGTAATCATTTCTTATAAATACCATTTCCTAATGTAATTTTCCAAGATATGAAAGATCGTAATGCAAACAAAACTAAATTTATCAAAAGTAACAGGCTTTATGATTCTTAAACTATGTGCATTTTTGAAAGCTCTTATGAAGTTTCAAACAATTTCATCCACTAGTTTTATTGTTGGAATGAAATATAGCAAGACTTGCATTGGCTACTCAGAGAGTTAGTAACTGGTAGTCATCGGGTTAATTACCTTCTAAAAACAGAACTAAATATTGACATTTACTTGATTGCCTACCTAAATGGTTGTGTTTTAATGTGTTCTCATGTTTTGTTGAATTGAGTTTGTAAGGATGTTTGATTTCTCCCATTTTTATTTTTTTAGAATAAATAGCAATTGATTGCCCATTGACTGTTCTCAAACTCTGCTCTTTTTTTGTATGAAAATTTAATTTTTAACCATAAAGCCATCTAATATATGCTTGATAAAGCTACAGTATAAGTTTTATACATATTAAGTTTTTTATACAAATTTATTTTAAGACTTACTATTGGTCTTCAATAGCTAAAATACTCATTTCTTATCTTAGAATCTTCCAAGTTTAGTCTTCCAAAAGTTGAAAAGAGCAAGAAAGAACACAATGAAGATCTGTCCGATACTTCTTCAGTTTCTAAAATTCCAGAAGGACCGTCTTATAATGTTGATCTCAGACCATCTCACCGTTGCTATGTTAATACACCTAAAATTCGACTAAATTTTACTCTAAGTATGGTGGCTGTTTTTGCTATGACTACAGTAATTGGACTTGGTGTTGGAAATTATCTTGGTAATAAATGTTTAATGCTGTATTTTTTAATTGTATTTTGGGAATTGAAACAGTTCATTAGTAGTCTAATTTTAAGTTATTTTCATGTAAACCTTACATTTATATAGTTTAATATTTTTAAGAAGAAGCAAGATTTAGTTCCAGGAAGAGGTTTTAGCAGGCATTATAAATTGGGGGGAGATATATATATATACCAAAATTATTTATGATATAAAATAAGTATCAGAATTTTAAACAAATGTATACGTTATGATTGAAATGAACCAAGGTTGTCATGTTAACAGCTCTCAGTGTTAGAAGCTATTTATACTTGTTTAACTTTTTCTCTCCTTTTTTATCTGCTTTTTCTAGTGCTTCACTTTCAGAACTGTCCATAAATAAATCACACAATAACGAAGGTAAAGGAGAACCCATATCTAAACCTTCGTTTTGTTTATAAACTTTGTTATTAATTTGAAAAACTGAGTTTTAAACACATACTTCTTCCAGGTTAATCATATCCATTATTTCTAAGACTGAATTATTATTTTCTTTCAGTTTTTTCTCAAAACATTCAATAGCTTTTTTTTTTCACAGGTATTTTGGTGAACATTGACACATCAATTCTTTCCACAAATTCAAACAAATTCTTAACTGTGTATTTATTTTTATCCCGTAAAAATGAGAATTTTTTAAATATAAATTTTGCTACATTATAAGTTGAACTTTTAATATTGGCTACAGTAGGTCTGAATTTATTACCAATCTTGTAATGTTGTAAACAGGATGATATCAATAATGAGTTATTGCTAATTAAGCACGTAGCAGTGTAAAGAGGTTTTAATCCAGATGTTGTTGACTGAACTGTAAAAAAAACTAAAAAACGGGGATAAAAATATTAAGTTAAAACCATTTGCTGATAAAAAGTAAGAAAGAATGTTTAGTGCTATCATATATACCTGGTTTATCTTGTCAAATAATGAAAAAAATTAAGAAACAAATAAATATTTTTCCGATATACAAACCGATAAATAAAGTCAGCCAAATTCTTAATACAACTAAAGATAAAACTGATTTGGTGGGAAAATTTGATATATATATAAAATATTATGTGAATGTAAAAAGTTTATATAGGACAAACTAAAAGAAATTGAAAATTCAGTATGAATGGACACAAAAGAAATGTTAAAAATAATATTACTATTTCACCTTTAACAGAACATGTTAGTGAAACTAATCACACAATTCAATGTGAAACAATAGTTATTTTAGCACCACCTGGAAATTTAATTGATATGAATATATGTAAATCTATTGAGATAATTAAATGTAAAAAAAGTAAATTTAAATTATTGAATAAGGATGATGGACTTGATGGAAATGTTGTCAGTAGATGGCGTGAAATTCTTTAATATGTAAATTGGTGATAATTCTATAAATAAGTGTTATTTTTGCAAAACATTACAATCATGAGGATGATGCACTAGTTCACGTCAAAACATGTAGATTGTACGAGATTGTTTTCCAGTCTCATCGTGTTTTTTACCACTTTTTATCCTTTACAGTAAGTTATTGTATTTTAGTAATTTGGAGACTGGAAACAATCTCATTTTTATAGAATTTTGTATAAAATAATCATTTTTTTAAAAATTGAATTTTTTGACATTGAACATTACACACATGGTAAAATTTTTTTTTTAAATTACCAAGTTGCAAAAAGTGGAACAGTGGCCACACCCACATTGAGGTTGCACCGTGTCAAAAACCACCAAGCGTTGTAATGTTATCCTACTTATTCCTACCTTGTTTCCTTACTTTCTGGTTCTCCCATTCCTATTTTCTAATTTTTTATTTAAAAAATTTCACTTGTGAAACAGAAAGTCAGTCATACCCATATGCCACACTCTCCTATCAAATCTTATCGTTCAAAAAATATTGATAATTCTGTATGATGTTTGCTATTGGATTATTTATAACCAATAGGAAGAGAAGATTTTAACTTACTGAATTTTTTTTAAGGGTAACTCTTTCTGGCAACAGTTTTTTAATTATTTAGCCTATAGTTTCATTGTGGCTACTGCCAAGATCACCTTGACCAGGAAAAGGAATTATTTTAACCCACTTGTATCTTAGTTAGAATACCAGTTAAATTATAATAATTTTAGGGCATGCTATTTTTTTTGTGCTAAAGATTGCATATTTGAATTTTAAAAAATACATAGTATAAACGATCCTTCCACAAAGTAGGGTTAAGTTTGTATGAGACATCGATGGTTAAGTGCAAGACCTGACACATAAGTTCTGAATTTCTTGTTTTCAAGGGTAATGTTTATTTATTCTTATAAAAGTAACTAAAACATAAGAATTAGAAACTTATTAGCTTAGATAAGAAAACTTAAATGAGAAAAATTAACTTCTCTGCAAGAAAGTTACATAAGCAGCTCATGTATGATTTTATTCAATACATTGTTTACCATAACTTGTACTGTGCTCTTGCCAGGTGACTTATTGCTTTGTTACACTAGTTTAGTAGTTAAACACGGTTCAGAGTGCAATAAAACAATGAAATTAAATTAACTCTTTTGCTATGGGCATCTTTTTCTGCCCATGCCAGAATTTAATTAAACTGCTTTTGTATCATGGAATACAAAAAATATAGCTAATAATCCAAATTTTAATAGTATATAAATTTTAAGTTCATTGATTTTATAAGGCAATGTTAAAAAAAAATCCTGAATTTCCCATAGTACAAGAATTGTGACATTTTTTTCTCTAGGCATCTTCTCTTCTCTAATTTATTTACCATCTCTTCAAGAAGTACAAGATTTAATGTAAATTACTCATTATAATATTGCCATCACTCTGGCAAAGCATAATTTTCATATCCTTCAATCTTGTTTAGCTAAAGACAAATAAAATATAAATTCAGACCCCTCTTGCCATACCCACCTGTCACATCCTATTTTTCAGAAAGTGTCATTAGTTCTCTCTGATGTTTAATACTATATTATTTATAACCAACTGAAAGCCAAAGTTTTAATCTGTCAAGTGACATATTATATTACATTGTTTTATGTACAGAAAATTGTTTCTTTCGCTTTGAGTTCAAGCAACATTCTTATAAGGAACACTTCGATGAGCTTAGCTGAATTTTTAATGGTTCATCACAAAGTTAAAAAGCCAGAAAAATTGTGATAGTTATAGGACATTGTCTGCTTTTTGTATGTTATTATTCTGTGTTACTTGGTGCACTATTTAATTAAATACAAAATTATTTAGTGCAGTAGTACCATTAGTATAAAAACGTAGGGTTAAATTTCATCGACAGTTTGCAGCAAGGGACCTTAAATCAGAACAGCATCAGAGTCTACTGTACATTTATCCATGCTCATACTACACACGTAATGTGGCTTTGATTTTCAACCAGAATTATTGGTAAATTCTCTAACTATTAACTCAAATTTGAACCCCCACAAAAATATCTTTTGATCAATTTTTTTTTGTTTAAATAAGGTGGTACTTCATACAAGAGAAATGTATGTTGGTGCAATTCTCCAAAATGGGTTGAAAACATTAGGAAAAGTTTGCTTTTGTGATTGGCTAATCATGCTGTTTTAGTCACTAAACTTTCTATCGTGGACAAGCTGTGCCTCTGTGCTGCTTTATGCAAGTAAATTTTTGTATGGAGTTCAACTGAGCATTAATGGCTATGTGTGGTAGCACAATACAGTATATACACCTCAGTTAGTTACATTACCACACATTGTATTGCTCAATGATGATATGCATATATATGAGTGGGTGGGTATTCGCACTGAAAACAAATGCTGATGACGAAAATTTAGTGAGATTGATTTCTAGTATAGATCCTTATGACAAAAAAAACTAATATGTTTGTTTCAACTTCTTATGAATAAAACGTCTTTAGGAACTAAAACGATGAAATTTACAAAATCAAACTCTGAATTTTCATCATTAATCATTACAATCTGATTCCCCCCCCTCCACCTTCCCTTTTGATTATGCACGTATATGCTTAAAATAAAGTTAAAACAGATATGACCAATCGAGACTAGGAAATACGGAAAGCCTAGCAACCATGAGAAAAGTGAGAAAATTCACAAATTAAACAAAATATAATAATGATAACTGCAAGCAAAATTTTATTAAAGTTTTGATCAGTACAAAACAGAATAACAATAAATAAAATAAGACTAGCTTTGCCTTTCTCCAGGTCAATACAAACTGAGAGTATGAATGACAATACATGTCAGCAGTGTGTGTGTATGTACATTGTGCAGCACTCAAGCATTGTGTACATATTATAATATAGTTGCACGTGTAAGAGTTCTGATATGGTGCATTATTTCTTCTCACCAAAATAGTTATTCCCATTCAGTGCTGCGATCTATATGCAAATTTGTTTTGCATGCCACAAGCCTTGAAACTCCCACCCATATGGAATTGACTGATTCTAATGTGTCTCATTATCATGCGACAACTCTTCACCAATAAGATACACATTCTTGATGCATGTGACTTTCTCTATTCAATTCTACCAAACTGTCATTTCTCGTTTGGCAGTACTCGTGTTATAACATTCAGTTTCTGCTCTCTTCAAGTGTTTTATTTTAATTTTTTCCATATCTTAGAAATAATTTCTTTCAACAAGTTTTCTCTTTATTATACAATAGTGATATTTGAGTTATTGAGTTATTCCAAAGTGGAATTATTTTATATTTCTACCTGGTTACGGAACTTATTACTTCATTTCAAAAACTTTTTATTTGTTTCTACCATTGTTATATGTTCTATTAGCACATTTACATAGTCCTTAGGTTGCAGTACTCTGCAGGAAGACTTTAGGCTTTACATCATCAGGAGATTGATTGTCCAGTGAACTGACTTTTTTCAGGCCTTACCTCAAGTTTAGGGGTACACACATTTGAAATAAGGTCTGACAACTTTGGAAAGATAAGACTTTTTACTGTTTTGGTTTCTGAATAATGTTATTGTTAGAA